TGTTTTTTTTTTTTTTTTCATGGACATTTATGTTTTCATGAAATGGCTACTGTGGAGGATAGAGTTGCAGTTAACATGGGAGTGCAGATATTCCTAAAGGTGGATTTTATTTTCTGTCATTATTGTAATGGTTACTTTGGGTGGTCAACCTGAATGGATTGAGGTATGCCTAGAAAATTGGTATACAATACCTCTAGGTGTTTCTGAGTGTCTTTCCAGAAGGTTGGGTCATAAAGCAGTAGGGAAGAGCTGTCATGATTGTACACAGGACCATTGAATAGATTTGATTTGAAAAAATACAGAAGGGAAAGCTGATACTGACTTGTGCTTCAGTCTCCTTGAATGAGTTTCTTTTCTCTTATGGTGTCACCTGTGGACATCTGCCATCAGATTCTTCAGTCTTTGAATATAGACATATACCATTGCTTCTCCAGTGGTCTTTGAAGCCTTCAGTCTTTTACCATAGCAGCTTCATTGAATTCCTTGATTTATGAGGCTTCCAGATTCTTGGTCATGGCTGTTTTGAGTTTCCATGTTTTCTCAGCCAACAGTTTGGGGGACTATTCATCCCATGATCATGTGAGTTGATCTAATAAGTCCCCTTCTATATGTATCTATGTATTCTATCAATTCTGTTTTTCTTAAGGACCCTGAATAATGAAGGCATATTCTTAGAAAAATATCTGAGTCATATGATATTTCTACTTATAATTCTTTAAAAAATATATTGTTTTTTTGTTGTTCTTTTGTTTGAATTTTTAAATTCATTGACAGACTTTTATTTTATTTTTTAACTTATCTATGTATGATATTGAGAATTGATCCCAGTGCCTCACACAAGCTAGGCAAGTGCTCTACCACTGAGCCACAATCCCAGCCCCCTTGCCCTATCATGGTGTCTGTACCAGTTTATATTTCTAGCAAGAGTGTCCAAGTGTTTTCTGAAATAAAATTGTGTTTACAGTAGTAACAAAACAATAAAATAATACTTGCCCATTGCAGCACATTCTATAGTTCCAGCTATTTGGGAGGTTAATATTGGATAATCTCTTGAGACCATGAGTTCAAGACCAGCCTACATAACATAGAGAGAGATCCACCTAAACTACAATAAAATGTTTAAGAGTAAATTTAACTAAACAAGTGAAAAAGTTACATTATGAAAATTATGAAACATTTTTAAAAAATTAAAGATCTGGGGCTGACATTATGGCTCAGCAGTAGAGTGCTTGCCTAGCACAGGCGGGACCTGGGTTCGATCTCAGCACCACATAAAAATAAAGGCATTGTGTTGTGAGACTCATCATGGCGACGGGCGGGGAGGCAGCACTTTCAGTACCTCTTCAGCCATGCGGACAGAGAGACACATCAGAATGTTCGGATTATGCCTGCTGAGAAACTGCCAGCAAAATTCTGCTGAAGTGAGACCTAGACGGGGAGTTTGGGATTATTGGAGGTGACAGCTTGCCCCGGAGGGGTGAATCTCAGCCATCCTGCACGCGGAGGTGCGGACCACCGCTGTATGGCAATCGGCGCAGAAGGAGGCGTTTCAGCACTGCTGGATACCGTGTGTGGCAGTGTGTGGCATAGAGACCCTTTGAAGAGGTTGCTAACCAAGCCTTCCTGAAACAGCGGACTGACAATTGAAACTGAGACTGGGACAGACCAGAGACAGGCCAGACCCACCTCTCCCATCAGACACTTTGGCAAGGAGTCTGGGGCCCGCCATAGCAGAGAGCTGACGTCACCAGAGTTAGGCGGATAGGATCCCTTTCCAGCGGAATCGGCTTTAGCAAGTGTGTGACTCCCATCCCTACCAGATACATATAGCTGGGAAACCTCAAAAATCTCACTCCAGAGCTCCGTGGGCATGACAATAGGCGCTGAGGGAAGCAGAGGGGACTCCCGACCTCCCCCTACCACCAGCAGCGACACCCAAGGCCTTAGCCGCCAGCTCCGGGGGCATGGCCACCAAAGGAGTCCAGGCAATGTAAGCTGACGGTTCCCAGATCACCCACTCTACAGCCTTGGGGTCTGGGTGAACAGCAAACAGAGTTCTCAAGTCGTTCGTGAAATAGGGCACTCAAGGGGGCTGCAAGTGTAACTAGATCTATGGAGATCACCTCCGGTGAGCAGGGCTTGGCTGGCTGGCAGGAGGAAGGGGGGAGGGAAGGGAAAAGACTCTGGATTAACAGGATTGGAGAGACGCCCAGTAGGGGAAGAGTAGCTGCCTTACAGGGATTGCTGCTGGCACCTAGAGGGCAGAAGCTCAGCTCCCAGGGTATGGTCCCACCTACTAGAAGAGAAGGAAATAAAACTCTTAAGACTTTATTTATCATTTTTTTCTATTTCTGTTTTCTTTTTTTCCCTTTTCAATTTTTATTGTTCTTTCCATTCTCCTCTATTCTACCTATTTTTTTCTCTCTCTTTTTCTTTAAGGACTACTTCCTTCCCCTTCCCCCTAACGTTCACCCCAAGCATTAAGACTTTCATTACGGGTAATTTTCTAAATGCAAATAGGTAAATGTTCCAAGGCTGTCTATAGGGCTCCTAAGTCCCTAGCTACTACCAAATACCCGGATCCTTTCGCCTGTTAATATCCCCCTTCAGTAGAGCAATCTTCCAAGTTGCCAAGACATACTACCCTTCATACCATCATAGCACCCAAACTAAACATAAAGTCCTAAGACCAAACAACAGATCACTATATGCCTACAGAATCCGTAAGCCTTTTATGAAACGAATGAATCAGCTTTAAATTACAATAAAGCCCAACAGCTCTAGACATAGTCTCCCACCACAAAGGAGAAACCACAGAGATACACAAAACCAAAACAAAATTTATAGGAGAAAACAGAAGCACAGCAGTTAAACAGAGTTGGAAAGTAACGTGAACACCATGGAAAAACAAGGGACAAAAAGGATTACAAACAATGCAGTACAACTTAAATTTACAGGAGAACCTAGAGGCATCAGAAAAATGGACAGAGAAAGAACTCAAGGCATACCTGACTCAGATGGAAAGGAATCTTAAAGAAGTCATTAGACAGTAAGTCTAAACAATGAAAGAATACTTTGAAAATGAATTACATAAGCAGATTCA